AGAACGTATCCCGTCGCGTGCGAATAACATTACACGCGTTGAATCTTTGCCATTACATCGCGCAGAAGAGAGCTCACACGAAGTCCGCGCTTCCTACGACGACATCAGAAGAGATCAACTTGTGATGCATTTACACGACCTGTAGCATCACGCTCGCATTTTGGCCAATCATCGTCGTCCATAGCACACAGACGGTGATCACATGGGACAATCATTCTCGAAACTTGACACGCCACGAGTAGCGTCACAGGCCTGCCTCGTCGGTTCTCCTCTCAACTGCCGGCTCCTTCCGCTTTCTCACAATTCAATTTCCCCATGGAGCGCTCTGATCAAGTGTTTGTGGACGTGGCGACGCCGACGACCGGCGAGAAGCTCCTCGTCGACGTGCCCAAGATGACGCTCGAGTGGACGCACATCACCAAGACGGTCCAAGTTAAGCCGCCAGGCGCCAAGTCGACAGTCGACAAGGTCGTGCTCAACGATGTGCACGGGTCGGCGACCGCGGGCGAGTTTGTCGTGCTCATGGGTCCATCCGGCGCCGGCAAGTCGTCGCTCCTCGACATCATTTCGGGTCGCCAGTCGGCCACGTCCGGGTCTGTCCTCGTCAACGGTGCGCGCTGGTCCAAGGCGTCGGCCAAGCACGCGTCCTACGTCATGCAAGACGACGTCTTTTACGAGACGCTGACGGTCGAAGAGCACCTTTTGTACCAGGCCGAATTGCGCATGGGCAAGCTCTTCAACACGTCACAGCGCCAAGCCCGCGTCGACTTTGTCATCCAGGAGCTCGGTCTCGGCAAGTGCCGCAACGCGCCAATCGGCGGCGACAAGATCCGCGGCATCTCGGGTGGCGAGCGCAAGCGTCTCAGTTTCGCGACCGAGATTCTGACCAACCCGTCGCTCCTCTTTGCGGACGAGCCGACTTCAGGTCTCGACTCGGTCATGGCCGAGTCGGTCGTGCTGCAGCTGCGCCAGCTCGCGCGCGAAGGCCGCACGGTCATTGCGACGATCCACCAGCCGTCGTCCGAGCTCTTCCCGCTCTTTGACAAACTCTATTTGCTCACGGAGGGCGAGACCGTCTACAACGGTCCAGCGTCCGAAGCCGTCGCGTACTTTGCAGCGCAAGGCCACGCGTGTCCTAACTACATGAACCCAACCGACTTTTTCATGCGCCAGATCATCCAAGCCGATGGCACCGACGCATCCAAGGCCCGCGTCCAAGCGCTCGTGAAAGCGTGGTCGACGCACTTGACGACGGCGCCAGCGTCGTCCGAGTCGAGCAACGAAGCATTCGACGACGACGACGACAACGGCTACACGCAGACGCACATGGGCCTCATGGGCCAGCTCCGCGTGCTCACCAAGCGCAACGTGACGCGGCTCGTCCGGGACAAGATCGCGTTTGGCGCGCGCCTCGGCCAGAGCATCTTTACGTCCATCTTCGCGGGCCTCATCTTTTGGCAGATCAAGATGTCGCAGTCGGGCGTCCAGTCGTTCACGGGTGCGCTCTTCTTCGTCGCGATCAACCAAATGTTTGGCGCCGCGACGCCCGAATTCATCGCCGTGCCGATGGAGCTCCCCATCATGCGCCGCGAGTACGACTCGGGTCTCTACCACGCGTGGGTGTGGTACCTCGCCAAGAACGTCAGCGAGCTCTTCTTCCAGCTCGTCTTTCCGCTCATCTTTCTTCTGCCGCTCTACTTTATGATTGGCTTTGACGGGTCGGACGCGACGCTCTTCTTTAGCTTTTACCTCTTTATCATGCTCATCACGAGTGCGGCGACGGCGCTCGGCTACATGGTGTCGTGCATCGGCAAGAACGCGGACGTGGCCAACATCCTCGGCATTTTGTTTCTGCTGCCCGGTGTCATCTTTGGTGGCCTCTTCCTCAACTCGAACGACATCCCTGTCTACTTTAAATGGTGCGAGTTCATTACGCCGCTCAAGTATGGCTTCCGGGGCATCTCACGCGCCTATTGGAGCACCATCAAGGACATTCCTTGCAACCCGGGACAGACGTGCGCGGCGCGCAACGGCCACGACGTGCTCGTCAACCTCGGCTTGGACGGCGAGACGCTCTTGTACGACGTGGCCTTTATGCTCTGGATCAACGCCGCGTACCGTCTCGTGGGTCTCGCCGCGCTCTACCTCAAGGTCTACAAGCGCATTTGATCGTCTTTTTTCGACATATAAACGCTTTCATATCTACTCTACGATCCATAGTTCTTTTGTGCGATATAACGTGGACTATGAAGGTTCGATTGCGAAATACGAATCGAATGGGCTGGACAGCGTGAGGCTAGGGTAGGTGTAGGGTTGGTCTACCGGTTGACGAATATATACCATTGGTACCGCAGTGACAGACAAAGGAGTACTC